CTTCACTCAGGATACCTCTGTGAAAGAGCAGCCTTTCACAGTCGGCAGCATTTTTCAAAGAATGCTCTCCATTTTCATATCTAGATATATCATCTTAGTTGAATAACCATTATTTTGCCTTGAAAAAAAGATGCAGAGCCTCTTAAACATCATTCCATTGGAGTCCAGATTTTAATCTGCCTCCTCTAACCACAAAGAAAAAATGCACTGAGAAGGTAACGTAACCTGTTCCAGCCCTCTATTTTTTCCTGGCAGTGAAGAGAGGGACGAGCATCATCATGGGTCTGTCTTCCCACCATTTGATCGAGTGCAGAGTGTACGGACACAGATTTTTTTATACCCAACCATAGGCACATGTGTGGATTAAGACTGAGCTTTTTGGGGAGCACTGGGTGGTTGCAACCTATAGCCAGTGAGCTTCTTCAAATTGTTTTGTATGGTGAACAAATCTGTATGATGGACTGAAAATAAAAGCAAAATGTGGGGGAAAAAAAAAATCCACAAGCCGTTAGAAGTAGTTTATTAACCAAAAGTCTGTATTTACCCAAATCAAATACTTGGGTTTGCTGTCACCAGCGATTTCACCCTATGGGTCAAAATTCTGCTCCTTGATGGGTGATTTTGGTTGCACCCTTTCAGCACGTCATCCCAGTCAGCACCTTTCCATGAGTATATTCAAAGGATTCAAAGACATTTTGGTTTGTGGTTTGAAGAGAGCAAAGGGGCTGAAATCCGTAGGGTTCTGTACACCCAGTGGGGAAAAATAAATAAGGAGAGCTTTGAAACAGAGCGGGCTGCTGCATCACCTCCCCACACAGAGCCATGACGGCAACGGCCGTGTTTTGCCCGGCACTTGTAGAAGAAGGTGCCTTTAATGTCCCATAAATTTAATTTCTGAAGGACACACGGCACAGCGATGGACCGCGATGACGGGGGGCTTGTTCTGCGTAAGAGGCTACGACACATTGCCTTGCCATACAGCTATTTTGCTGAATTGCAGCCATATTTCTGTCAGTACAAGTGATGGTCTATATGAGGGATTAATCTGACACCAGACAGTGATTCTTAATCCTTCAGTATATCATAATCTATTTACTTTGCATGCTAAGAGGATTTCAGCTTAAAAATATACAGGAAGTGATACTAGAAATGTACATAAGGTCCAGAATGCAGTTTCCTAAAATTGCAGTTTTTCATTTAAAAAAAAAAAAAAAAAAAAAATCCTCTCATGGCTTTCTTGGAAAAGTCCTGTATGTCCTGGGAAAAAAAAAAAAAAAAAGAAGTGTTGAATAGGGATTTAACTGGAAAAAGACATATGTTTTCCTTTAGGTTTTAACCCTGTTACCATTTTCACCCTCCTCCTTCCCCACAATATTTTGTGCTCGACTGTACGACATGAAAGAAGAGCTCTCCAGTACAGCAGCTTCCTCAGCTGGGAGGTACACCTGCAGACTTTTACTGACAAAATCAAAACAGGTTTGGAACCAGCATGGGATTCTATGTGCATTAATTGCTACTCGAAGTGCATGAATTAGCAGCAACTGGCTAACGCAGAGGTCAGCACAGGGAAAACCACAAACGGATGGCTCCTTATTCAGCTGTAATCACCTGTTTTCTCTGTGCCCTGCCAGAAGGGCTGTCTACAAAATAACTGTAATAAGTCATGTTAGTGGGTGCCACCTCTGAAACGTGCCACACAATTTATAGTTATAATTTTTTAATAATTTAAATCATGCTCGGCCATAACAATTTGCATTCCCAAAGCACATCCTGCACACAAAAGAGGAGTTGCAGCAACCTCTGCACAGCCTGGTACCACTACGGGTGCTCACACCATCACCTGTCACAGCTCCCTGCCACGTGGGGGGGTTTAACAGCAAAGCTTCCCGAGCAGGGACTCAAGTCGGGGCAAACACTCTGATAAGGGCAAATAAGTCATCAATTATTCCATATTCCAATATTAGGCATAAAAGCTAACGACAGCCCAAGCTGGGGAATGTTCTCCCCTCTGTCCCGCTTCCTCCCTCCTCCCCCCTCCCCCCTCAAATCCTGGCCCTCCACTTACAGGAGGGAAAGCCTTTGGAGCAGGCGCTGGGTAGCCCAGGCAGCTGCCGGCACTCGGGGGAAGAGGAAGGAGCTTCGCAGCCTGTGCCGGCTAACCCGGCGCGTCTCGGCACTGTGTCTGCACCCCTGGGCCGCTGGCAGCTCCGTGCTCCAGCAGCAAATGCTTTTTTAATAAAGAAAAATAATAATAATAATAATAAAGCAGTAGCCATGCACCCAGCAGCCTTCTTGAGAGGTGAGGCACGAGCCACCCCGGCAGCTGTCTCAGAACCAGGTTGCCCTAAAAAGCTTGGCAATCCAATCCTGTCGGCGCCTGCCTCTGGAGCCGGGCACCAGGCAGCGAGTGCCACGGCACCGTGCCACCTTACCTGCCATGACTCATGCTCGGGGTGGCTGTGCCTGCTCAAGCCTCGAGGAAGCCCACACCGGGACAAGTTTGCTCCCTCTGCCCCCCCAAACCCGGATATGACCCTTCCCAGCCCACGCTCGCCCACCAACAGGCACAAGTCATGTCTTGCCCACCCTACTGGCACTGACTGAAAAAGAAATTTAAAAATAGTGAAGCCAAGCATTGAAGGCAAAGCCATGATTTGATGTGAGCTGGACCAGGTCACCTCTGTGCCTCCGCTGCCAGCTGGACTCAGCAACCGGTTTCAACACCGTGCTCCAGATCTGTGTGAGTGCAAAAATGCCCGAATTCCAGTTTGGGAGTTGCTGGACAAGCCACTGGCCAGTGGCACAAGGAGCTGCTGGGCGGGGCACATGAGCATCCCTTGGATTCCCAAACCCCAAAACAGAACCTCAGCCCAGCCCCACTGTGGGGCACTGGATGAAGTGTTTTAGGACCACATCACCAAAACCAAAATTCAGGCTCCCCTCTTGGCTGTGTCTCAGCCTCACAGATTTACTGAGTCATAGTGGAACACGGTTTATAAAGACGAGGAAGTGTGCGTAAATTTTTGCCTAAAGAAGATGAAAAGTGTGTATTTGGAGGAGTGTGGGTTATACACCTGCTGGCTCTTTTCTCTCGGGTGCTCCTTAAATCTGGGAGGGCAACTGTGATTTATTTCATGCCCAGCACAGATTTTTTTTTTTCTGTCCCAGGAGGGCTGTGTTAATTTTTACCTCTTTGAAAGAAGGGCTTGGGGATGCATGGGCTGCTCCACTGGACCCAACACAAGTGGCCCTCCCTTAAACTGCTTGTACAGCCACACTTCGGTGTGATGAGCATCTGACCTGTGCTTGCAGAAGAGAACAATTATTTTATAGGTGAAGATACATTTAAAAAAATAAATCCTCAAATATATGTTATCCATATATAAGCACAGAAGGCGACAACAAGGAAAAGAACCACTGCAAGAAAAATCCCCTAAGACTGACTCAGCCTCACTCGTCCCCTCCCGTCGCTTCCCGCTGCACCGTGGGGTGCGGGAGGCCACCCCCCGCCTCGGGGCTATGCCATGGCCACGACCCTGGCAGGATGCACGGGTGGCACCTGGGGCTGACCCCCACTGGTTTTCCCCCCGCAGCCGCAGCAGCAGCAGCAGCAGCAGCAGCAGCAGCACTGCCAGCCCCGTTCGCATCCACCACGATGCTGAGGCGGGGGGAGTTGGGACGGGAGGGGGGGCTTGTGAAACCCTCCCCAAAGTGGCTGCACGGAGAACACCAACGCCTTGACACCTCTCACCCCACCACGGTCCCCACTGCCCCAGGAGTTCTCGGGGACACCAAGGGTGGGGGCACACGGCACAGCCCACGAGCTTCCAGATGCAGCGGGCACTAATGCGAGAGCACAGGGAGGAGCATGGGAATTTGGGAATGCTCCCCGAGCAGTGCATCAGTGACCCAAGCAGCGTAGCAGTGGCCCCGCTGGTGCCCTCAGCTCCGGTCCTGTGCGAGTAGGAACAGCCCTGGCACCAGCTGACAGCTTCCAACAACTGCAGGGAAGGTCTGGGGAAAGGAGAATAAAAAAAAAAAAAAAAAAAAGCGGAGGGAGGGATCGTCACGAGAAATAATTCATCCCTCTGTCTTCCCCGGTTGGATTTCAGCCGGCAGCGGGTGAGGATAGAACGGCCGGGAGCCAGGGCTGGAAGCACGAGTGCCGAACACCCCTCCCCGCACAGTGGGCAGAGGTCTGGCTGCGTGGCTGGGTGTCCGAGTGGCCCTCGCACCCCACCACCACCACTCAGGCGTGCCCGTGGGCCCCGAGTTCAGGACACTGCCCCACCAGCTGCGGGGGGATTGCTGTTTCGGCCAATGTTTGCCCATCCCGTGAATCCCATCGACACCACGGCGCAGCAATAAATCAGTAACCAATTAAGCGTCAATTAACGAAAGAGCGGGTCCCCAGCCCACACCTGCAGAAGTGGTGGTGGGTCCCCCCTCCAGAGCACTCACGAACTCATCACACACATCCCCCTCCTGCTGGGACCCCACAGGAACTATTTCCCAGCGCCTCACTCTTCCCGGGAAAGTTTCACGAGGAAGAGGAGACGGGAGGGAGGAAGGAGCACAGGACACCACTGCGTTTATTAGATTTTATTGGGGTTGGGGCGAAGAAGAAAGGGGTCCCTTACAGTCGAAGGGGTAAGCGTGGGGTTACGGCATCAAAAATCACACTTACACCGTCCCTCTCCTCCCTGCGGGGCAAAGCTGCCGGAAAGCCCCAGCCCAGGCGGGCGAGGCAGGCGGGCAACGCAGGGCTGCGGCACCGACCCGCCACCCCGCACCGACCGACAGAAGGGGCTCAAGAAAACCAGAACGAAAACCGAATCAAAAAACACACTCCGAAAAGCCGTGCGCCCCTCCCCCAGCCCCAAAGCAGAGCTGCTTGCCCTTGCAACCCTCCCCCAAAAAATAAACCAAAACTTTTTTTACAGCTTTTTTTTCTTTCCTTTTTATTTTTTTTTTGTTGTTTCCAAAAGTTTTGGGTTTTTTTGGTTTGCAGGTTGCGGATCAGATGGGCAGCCTTTCCCTCTCCCTTCGCCTCCCCCATGGCTGCTACACACCCCTGCCCCCAGCCCCAGGACGGCACAGCCAAGCTTGTGTAGAGCCCTCGAGGATGGACGGAGGACACGAGACGGGGAAAGATTCATTTTTAGGGAAAAAAATTAAAATTTAAAAAAGATTATTTTTTTTGTGGTGGTTTTTTTCCTTTTTTTTTTTTTTTTTTTTTTTTTTTAACGTTCTGTTCCATGTTAGACTCTAGATAAATGCCAACCCAACAGCATCAACTAAAAATAATCGTGGTCACTGGAACGGACCTAGTATTTACATTGTTCCCGCCGCTCCCTGCGGCAAGAGGCTGTACAGGACCGGCACAACGGGGCTTCTGCTCCCAGAGGGGCTGAGGGTCCCTGCACAAAGCTGGGGTGGGGGGGGGCACCGGCAGGGCAGGAGCCAGCCTGCGCCTCTGCCCGGGGGGCAGCAGGGGAGACGCTAGGCTTTTTTAATTTATTTTTTTTTTTAAACTCCTCTTCTGTTGCGTTTAAAAAAATAATAATTATAATAAACCTGGTGGAGTGGTGCAGGAAGCAAAATAAATATCAGTCAGTAGAGATGGGGGTGGCAGGACCTCCCCAAGGCATCGCCACTGCTAACGAAGAGGGAGGAGGAGGAAGAGCCAGAGTCCTGCCCAGGAGGTGGTGGGGGGACCCCGGGTGGGGGTCAGTGGCAGCTTGGAGGGGAGAATGGTGATCGGCCCCTCACAAGACCTGGAAGCGCCAGGACGCCTGGTCCTTGTAGTCGAGGCAGTCGGGGGAGTTAAAGTTGAGCTTCCAGGAGGCAGCAGCAGCAGCGGCGGGCTCCTTGTAGTCCAGGCAGTCGGAGGAGTTGAAGGGCAGCCCCGTGCCGCCGTAACCCTGGTGGTGGTGGTGGTGGTGATGGTGGTGGTGGTGGCCCGAGCTCTGGCTCAGCGGGTGGTGGTGGTGGTGGCCTGGCACCGAGGAGGGCCCCATGGGGCTGAGCTGGTGGGGGTGGTGGTGGGAGTGCATGGGCGCCAGGTAGGAGCTGCAATCCACGCCCCCGAAGTAGGACGAGGAGGGTGGCGCGGGGTACCCCTGTCCGTACCCCCCGCCTTGGCTGTAGGACACGGGGTAGCTGGCGGAGGCAGCGGTGGCGGCGGGGCCGGCCCGCTGCATGCAGGACGCGGCGGCCGGAGGCAGCGGCTCGGGCACCGTCACCCCCGCCGGCGCCGCGCCGGGAGAGATGGAAGCCGGGCTCCAGATGGACGACGCCGGGGTGCTGAGAGATGCTGGGGCGCCCACCGGGGCCGAGGAGGCTGAGCTGGAGGAGGAAGAGGAGGCCGAGCTGGAGGCCGCTGCTGGCGGCGTGAACTGCCCGCTGCTCTCGGAGCCCGAGCTCTCCCGGGCTGGCGAGGATTTCTTCTTGGCCGGGCGGCTCTTGGCCCCGCCGCCGCTCTGCTGCTGCTGCCGGCACTTGGCACGGCGGTTCTTGAACCAGACCTGGAGGGAGAAAATGGGGTGCAGGGCAGCAAAGAGGGGTGGTGGGGTGAGCAGGGGGTCCAGAGAGCCCCAGAAGGGGCTCTTCACCCTGCGAGCACCCAACCAACCTCACCCTGACACCAGTTCTCCGAGCACCCGCACCCAGCCACCAGAACTGCACATCCCCCGCACCCCAAAATAAAAAACCCACCCCTGTCAAAACACACAGGCCACACCACATCCTGCCAAAAGCAGGGATGACCAGAGGCAATGGCTGAGGTGTCCCAGCTCGTGCATATCCCTGTCACGGTGACAAAATATGGTTTTGGGGGACAGATCTTGCGCTGGGTGCTGCCTGCATATTCCAACCCTTTGGGTATCTGGGGAGCAGTGCCCGGAGCAAGTACCTCTAGGAAGCACTCAGGTAGTGAGGCTGCTATGCTCTGGGACAGGTGGAGTGTGACAGAAAAATACTAATAAAAAAAAAGTTATTACAAGAAGATAACAAATAAAAATAAATGCCCCCTCTTCAGTTGAATGGGACAAACAAGTGGAGCGAAGCCCACCATGCACCCCTGCCCCAAGGAAACAGGGATGAGTGTGGATGGCACACTCAGTCTTAGTGGCACCAGATGAGCTGGGATGTCCCTGCATCCCCCCAACCCACAGCTGTGCAGGATTCCCCCACGCGGGTCCGGTACCTGGACTCGGGATTCAGGCAGGTTGATCTTCAGGGCGACTTCCTCCCGCATGAAGATGTCGGGGTAGCGGGTCTTGGCAAAGAGAGCCTCCAACACGTCCAACTGCGAGCGGGTGAAGGTGGTGCGTTCCCGCCGCTGCTTCCGTGGGGTGGCTGGGGGGTGAGCACGGCCACACTGGTCACGCTGGATCCCCACGCACCTCCCGTACATTCTGTGGCACGGCGGGAGCCCCGGGATCCCTGGTGCAGCGGCTTGAGATAAACCCCTACTGCTGACCCCAAACTGCAGCACTGCCCCCACACCCCCACGGCTGCTGGACCTCGGCTCGCTAAGGGCAGGGCGAGGGGCACAGGTTGGGGGAAGGGTCGGGCCTGGCTCCAGAGGAAGCTACGGGGAGAGTTCGTTGTGCCGAAATAAATCTACTTTTTTTTGTTAATATTATTTAAAACTTTTTTATCCTTAAAAGACACCTCAAGAACGAAGAAACCCCTGGAACAGGGGAGAAATTCAGCTAGACCCCATTCTCCCCAGCCAGGGGTGCAGGCAAACGGGGGGACCCACCCCACAGCCCACCCTAAACCGTACGGCCCCATCGGGTCCTCCAAAACAGCCCGGGACAGAACTTTTCCCCCTCCGCTTGCTGGAGAATAGTGGAATTGGGGGGTTGGGGGGGAGGCGCGGCCCGTGGTACTCACCCGGATACCCCACGGAGGGATGCAGCAGGTCCATGGCGGGACCCGTCAGCCCCAGCCCATTCATGCCGTAAGGGGGCTGTTTGAGGTAAGACATCATGCTAAAAGCCGGGCAGTTTCTTCCAAAGTCCCGCAGAAAAAAAAAAAAAAAAAATTCAAAATCAAATCAAATGTACGGGGTGGGAAGGGGGAAAAAGAAGGGAAGGAAAAAAAAAAAAAGCCGACAAAAACTAGCCCCGAAAAAAACCCAAACAAGAGGCAAAAAATTTAAAAAATTTAAAAGCCAACGATAATTTAAAAACGAAGCAGAAAATCAGCGCGAAAGGACTTTTTTTCGTTCCGTCCCGCCGTCAACGCCGCGAGGTCCTCGAGTGATCGCAGGTGAAGTGAGGGAAAAATAAAAATGAAGGAGAAAAAAAATTGAAAATAACAACGAGGATCGGGAAACGGGCGGATTTCTTCCCCGCACAGAGGCGAGGCCGGAGCGCCTGGGAAGAGAGCGGAGAGAAGAGGGTGAGGCTGCGGCCGCCCCGAGTCCTGCCGGGGGGCGCCCGGAGCTCCCGCAGGTCTGCGCCCACCCGGCGCGGGAACACCGGGCGGGCGGCTTCCGATTCTTAATTTTATTGTTATTTTATTTTAAACGAAGGCGAGTTGCGCGCAAGTGCCGAGAGGCAACAGTGCCCGGCGATCGGGAGAGATAAAGCAATTATTTAAAAAGATAATTGGATTAGGAATCAAAAGGAGGTATCAGAGGAGGGAAGTATAATTAATTTAAAAGCGAGCAGACGGGGACGTTTTAATTAGAAATGGATAAGAGTTAAAAAGCGAAAAAGGAAAAGGGAGCGCGCCGGCAGCCGAGCGGGCGACAGCGCCGGCAGCCGGGACGGGACGGCGGCGGGGCCCGACCGGGGGTCTCCGGCAGGGCCGGCGGGGGGGACGGACACACACACGGGACCCGGCTCGGGAGGCAGCGGCCGGGTTCGGTGGCAAAACGCCGCAGACAAACGCGAAGGGGAGGAAGGAGCGGAGAGACCCCGGGCGGTCCCGTCGAGCCCCGGGGGCAGCCCCCGCTACCGAGGCTGAGACAACTGTCCCCCCCAGCCGGGGGTATGGCGGGCACCCCGGGTAAATTCTGGGTGGGGGTTCGTGGCACCCCCCGGTAGGCCGGGGCCGGGCGCAGGTCGGGTGGCAACGCCGTGACCCGGCGTTGCATAACTTTGTCGGGGACGCGGTGGAGCCGGCCCGTCCCGGCTGGAAAGCGGTGAGGAAAAAGACGAAAATAAAAGTGAAAAAGAGGAGAGGAAGGAAAGAGGAAAATCCCGAGGCATCCCCGGCCCAGCCGCGCTCACCACCCCCGCTCGCGGTGCCGCGGGCCCGCTACGCTCCGTCCCGCCGCCCGCCCCGTCGGTGAGCGCGGTGCCCGCCGCCCCCGCCCGCCTCACCTGCGCGGCCACCTGCGGAGCGACTGAGCGACCGCCCGGCGGGGGCTGCGCGGGGCAGCGCGGGGCGGAGCGGGCGGGGGCGCGGAGGGGGCCGGGCGGGGGAGGAAGGAGCGGGGGCAGGCAGGTGAGAGGCGGGCTGGGGAGGGGGACGGGGGCGCTGCCCGAAGCCGAGCCGCGCACCCCCAACTTGTCGGGGCGCCCCGCGTTTACCTTGCCCGGCGGCCCGCGCTGTCGGGGCGATGGAGCCGCGGCCCTGATGAGGATTGATCACCTACCCCCGGCCCTACCCTTGTATGTGCGCGCAAAGCAACTGCGTAACCAGCCTGGCGCCAATCCCCGGCCGCTCCCCGCCTGACTGACAGCCGCCCGGGCAATGGCAGCGCGGGGCGACGGCTCCTCCGCACCGCCCCGCGCCGCTCCGCGCTCCCCCGCGCACCGACCCCGGCGCCGCGGAGAGCCGTCCGGCAGGGCCAGGGCTGCGGGGGGTGGGCGCGCAGTGCCCCGCACAACCTCCGCGGGGAGGGCGGGCGCTGCGAATTGTTTAGAGAAGTGCCGGGGGGTTGGGGGGGTCCGCTCCGCGCCCGCGCAGCTCTGTCCCCTCCCTCGGGAAGCCCCCCACGCCGCTCTGCGCTCAGCTCCGCGCCTCCCTGCGCGCCCCTGCCGCCGGAGGAGACCGCGGAAAAAGTTTCGGCCGCCGCCTCCGCCGGCGCGGAGGGCACTCCTGGGGAAGGGGAGGCGGTGTCGGGGCCCCTCCACCCCAACGCCCGGGGGCTCTCACAAACTTTGTGTTTTAAAATCCCAATAAAACAGCAGCGACCGCACCTTTCTCCGCGTGTCCCGAATTTAGAGATTGCTACGCACGGCGGGGAGGGGAACGGGGGGTGGGTGGGGAGCTGGCGGGGCCCGCACGGGAGCGGCAGGGAAGAGGGTCGAGGTGACACGGGGCCCTCCGCGCCGCTCCGCGGGGTCCCACTCGCTGCGCGGGCCGGCGGGGTCGGGGCGCGGCGGCCGCGCAGGCGGTGGAGCGGACCCGGACCTCTAAGGAGGCTCCGGTGCGCGGCTTTTGTTGGTCTCCCCAAATCAACTCCCTCTAATTGCAGTGGAGCTGAAAGCGAGCTAATGTTCAAAGGCGCTGCCCGCCGGCCCCGACCGGAGCGCGGTCTCCCGGGGGGAAGACTTCCCTCCACCCCATTTTATTTTGTTGTCGTTGGAGGGTTTTTTTCCCCCTTCTTTTCAAATCTTTTTCCTGTGCGAGGAGGGAACCGTCTAAGCCGGGCGGGAGGGAGCCGATGAGCAGAGAGAAGGAGGTTAGCAATCTCCTCCGCTCGCCCGCAAAAGTCAGCGACACGGGCACTTCTCCCCGCAACAAAGGCGCCGCGGCCCATTCACAAAAAACCAAAGGGAGGAGGAGGGAGGAGGAAGACTTTGCGGAGGCAGTTCTCCCCCTCCAGCCCCTCTTCCCCGTTTTGCCCCGGTCCTGCCGGGGCAGTTCCCGGCCCGGACTGCGCTCCCCACCCCCACCCCCCACACGCCCCCGTCGCCTTACCATCCCTTCGCCCCGCCGGGGCAGTTCCTGTCCTGGCCGACAGCAGGCACCCCCCGAGGCTGCCCCCCACTTCCTCCACACGCACACCAGGGGGTATCTCTGCTCCCCACAAAGCCCCCCGCAACTCCCGCGGTTGCCCAATCCCCAACTGCGGACGCCTCCCCCCCAGGCTCGGCCGGGGGCTGCGGGAAGGGCGGGCGCGGGGCTCGCCGCCCCCCGAGGTGACGGTCCCGGCGCCTCCGACCCCCCCTCTTCGTTCCGCCGGACGGAGCCGGCGCCCTCCCCGGTGTGCCCAGGTAAGGTCGGCGGCGGGGCGGGAGCTGCGGGTGGGCAGGGGGCTGGGCTGGGTTGGGCTGCGCGACCCTCGGCCCCGGCGGCGGAGAAGGGCAAGGGCAGCTCGGGCCGGCTGCAGGGCGGGGGGGCCTTCTGCGACCGGTTTGCCAGGCTGGGGGCGAAAGACGGGGGAAACACACACACTTATTTTTCCCTCAACCCAGCGGCTGAGTTACTTTTTTCGCAGCAAAAGCCAGGCAAGCACCGGCCCCCCGAGGAGGGGAGGACGCCCGCCCGCGGCCCCCCTCGCCCCCGGGGGCAGCCCGCTGCTTTGGGGCTCAGCAGCTCTCGGTGCCCGGCCGGGCAGGGAGCGCCGCGGGATTTGCCGCTCTCTCCTCTCCCGAGCCTCCGCTGAGCTCCGCAGCCGCGGAGCTCTCGCAGCGTGTTTCCTCCCGTTTCCAGCCCCTATTTCTACGGCGGGGGCAGAAGAGCACGGCGGAGCCCGCTGTCCCAGCAACCTCGGCGCCGGGGTGCTCCGCGCATCTTCCCAAACTTCGCACGGGACCAAACCCACCTGAGGGCCCCAGGGCAGCACCCAGTCCCCCAGGCCGGCACGGAGCCCGCGGCACCGGTGGCTGCTCAAGCAAAACCGGCCGCTTCCCTCCTCCACGGGGAAATTTTTTCGGTGGGAGAGGGAGGGCGCAGCGGGGAGCGGGCCGCGGCTCGTAGTTGTACCTGGGACCGCCGGCGATGTTGCGGTCCCTCCCGGGACTGCAGCCGTGACCCCGCGGGGTTCGGGCTTCCCTCCGCCCGCTCCGCTCCCCGCGGATGCGCTCCTTACGCGCCCGGAGCCGCAGCGGGTCTTTGGCCCCGCACCCCCCACGCCGTCGGCGGTAGGCGTCGGCCCCGCGGGGAGAAGTTTTACCTCCCCCTCCCCGAGTTTCGTATTATTAAAATCAAACGAAAAACTTTTCGATCTGGTGAGTTTCGTTGCGCTGGGGAAGCGCCGGCGGCCGAGGGGGGCCCGAGATGCGGAGCCCCGCTGCAACCCCACCCCGGGATAGGTCCCTTCCCGCCCCCCGCGCCCCCTCCCCGGCCCACTGCGGGCGGGAGGGATGACGTTTCCCAGGTAAAGAGGAAAGCGGCAATTACGGTAAGAAAGATTCGGGTTTTATTGAAAACTTTATATATGACTCGGTGTTGTAATAAATAAAAGAGACGAGCTCCACGAAGGGACGATGCGAGCGCGGGACACGCTTGGGGGCACACGGACGGGGCGGGGTGGGGGACGCGGCCGGGCGCAATAAATAACGCGGAGCGGGCGGCGCGGTCCGGCCCGCGGGGGGACGCGGGTGGGAAGTGTCGCGCTGCCCCGGGCCGGGCCGGTCTCTGCCCCCGGGCTGCCCCGCTCCGCTTGCAGCCGCTCCCAGGGTTTTGTGCCAGCTCTGGGGAAGAAGCCCCCCGAGTAAACCCGAGCAGCTCGGCGCTACACCCGGGGAGATGTAAAACTGATGATATAAACCACTGGTAAATACAGCACATTTTTAATAATAACTGTGGTGGATCTGACCTAACTATAAAATGTAGGTAGCTTATTAAGTATTACATATGGCAGGACTAGATGAAACCATTCCCAATGATTTTTTTTTCCTATATCCCCCTCTCTAATCCTATTACGACAAAAACATTTTTATTTCAAAACTCAGCCCTCCTCCAGCTACAGAAACCAGGACAGACTATTTCTTCTCCTCCTTCCGCCCATCTCCGGCATCGCCCGCACGCCAGGGGTCTCGGCGATTCCATTTCCAATGCTTTCGGCAGGAGAGCTGAGCCCACACGGAAATCATGGGACAACGCGAGTTCGCTCGAATGGAAAACAAAAAACAACGGAGTGGGGCCCGGCACAGCCTAGATCTGGCCTAAGAAAATGGAAAAAAGTTTAATTTTTTTTTTTAAAACATCCTTTTCTTTTTTTCCCCAGTCTCATGTCGGCATGTTAAAAATGTAAGAAAGACGCGCTGCGATTTCGCCGCCGCCGTGGGAAGGCCGCTCACTGGAGAACGCATTTCTCTTCCTTCTTGGCCATTTTGCCTTTGTTTTGCTCGAGGGTCCTCTCCAAATGCTCGTCCTCTTCCTCGGCCCTGCGGAAAGAGGCGGCGGGAGGCGCGGTGAGGGGCTGCGCGGGATGGCCCCGCTCGCCTCCGAGTTCCCCCACGGCCACGGCGCCCGCGGACTTGGAACAAACTTTCCGTGGGGACCGCGGCGGCTCGGCGGGGACATCCCCCCACCCACCCCTTCGCCCGACTCACTGCTTCTCCTGCGCGTCCAGGTCCCTGACCAGCGCGTCCCGTTTGTTAACGAGAATAACGAGTTCGTCCAGCAAAAGCTGCTCTCGCCTCTTCTGCGCCTCGGTCTTCT